TGTTTGAGCGAGGAGTCCTCAGAAGGATTTATGGTCCAGTAAAGGAGGGTGATGTCTGGAGGAAAAGAAAAAATAGGGAGCTCAGTTCTCTCTATGCAGTCATCGACGTAGTCACCTATATTAAACTGGCCAGACTAAGGTGGGCAGGGCATGTGGCCAGAATGAGCACCGTTGAGATACCCAAGAAAATAATGATGGAGGAGCTGCACCTCGCAAGACGGGTAGGAAGGCCGAGGACGAGGTGGTTGGACAACGTGGCCTATGATGCGAGAACCCTGCTTGGTGTACGGAACTGGAGAGCTGCAGCAGAAGACAGAGCCAACTGGCGGAGGCTCTTGGAGGAGGCCCAGTCTCGGTAACGGGATGTCGTGCCACACATGAATGAATGAATATATATATATATATATATATATATATATATATATATATATATATATATATATATATATATATATAGAGAGAGAGAGAGAGAGAGAGAGAGATATCTAGATAGATAGATAAATGAGGAAGTTGTCAGCGAAAAGGAAAGGAATATAACTATGGAATTTTTAATAAATTCAGAATTTGGGAGTAGGCTAAAGATAAGTTCTGTTTGTCAGTTTTTAAATTCACTGTCTTTGGCTGAAGCTGGATGTGGAGGGTTTCAGAAATGAGTCGTTTATCATAGTTGAGAACTGTGGCAAGGATTGATGTTTTGTCTAAATCAAATGTATGATTGAGGGAGAGAGAATGTTCGGATAATTTGGAGGCGGTAAAATTACGAGAGGATACAGAATATTTATGTTGGGTGATGCGGTCTTTTAGGAGATTTTTGGTTTCACCAATATAGGATGAAAAACAATTGGGGGCAGAACATGGAGTACGGTAAACGATATGAGAGCGGTGTGAGGGAGGAACAGGATCTTTTAAGGACGTGTATAATTTAGAGAGTATGTTGTGAGATTTGAATGCAAGTCGTAAGCTAGGGTTAGTCGATCGTAAAACTTTGTTTATGTTGTCTGAAAGGTTAGGAATATAAGGTAGAGATCTGTATATAGAGGGCGAAATGGGTTGTGGAGAATTAGTGGAAGTCGAGATTGAGGAAGAGCCATTATTGTGGTATGTTATAAGTTTGTTAATGACATGGAGAGGAAAATTATTGTTTGAGAGGATCTGTTTTATGCGTTTGGTATTGGTATCATGAAATTGGGGATCAGAGAGAGAGAGAGAGAGACTACGGTGGATGAGATTTTCAGCAACTTTAATTTTCTGGTGGTAGGGATGTTTAGAATGGTAATTTAGAAGTCTGCCAGTGAAATTGGTTTAGTGTACCAGTCTGTGGATACGGTGTTGTTGGGATTTTTAATAATTAGAAGGTCGAGAAAACGGAGAGAATTATTGAGTTCGCGTTGTACTGTAAAATTGAGGCGGGGGTGGTAAGAGTTAACATTTGATAGAATATCGGGAATTTTATTTGGATTGATGATTAGGAGGAAGTCGCCTACGTATTTTCGAATAATGATAATATCGTCTGGGTAAAGAGGGATAATGGAGTCTAAATGATCATTGAGAACTATGTTGGAGATGTCGGGAGCGAGAGGGTTACCCATTGCTAGCCCGGAGATTTGGTTAAAAAAATTTCCTTGAAAAGTGCGGTAGCTTGATTTACAGCAAAGATGAAGGGATTCGAGATATGAGGATCGGTTAAGTGAGGTGTGAGGTTCAATGATAGTCCAATTTTCGTCTATTATAGTAAGTGTCTTGTCTATGGGTATGTTCGTAAATAAACTTTCAACTTCAAAGGAGCAAAGAATAAAATTTTCTGGAATGGTAAAGGAGAGTAAATGTTCACGGAGGTGGAATGAGTAATGTACATCATAAGGGTTGTTGTGGCTGAAGATTTGTAAGGAAGGTAGTAAGAATTTGCTAAGTTTAACGGAAGGAGAATTAATATTGGAAGTGATCAGACGGAGTGGGGTGCCGGGTTTATGGATTTTAGGAAGTCCATAAAAACGAGGAGCAACTGAATTGTAGGAGATAAGGTTTCTGTAAGTAGCTTAGTTTATGAGTTTAGAATTTAAAAGATTTTTTAGGTAAAAGATTTTCCGACATTTATAATAGTGTTCAGAGAGCACATCCACACTCTTCTTTTCTTTAAATGGGTGTTTTTGTCACTTTTTTTCGGATTTTTTTCCACCATCAAAGGGAGGGCGCGCCCACTGGAAGAATTCCCTAGCGCTGGTTCTGATTATGATTTTTTTTTTTTTATTGCATTAGGAAATTCGTGAATTGTAATGAATTTTTCCTATGATTCTCTTTTTTTTAAATAGCTGTTTTTGTCACTTTTTTTGGAATTTATCCACCATCTAAGGGAGGACGCGCGCCCTCGCAGAATTCGCTAGTGCTGGTCACGATAGAATTTTTTTTTTTGTATTACATTAGAAAATTCGTGTATGAGAATGAATTTTCCCTACATTTCTCTTTTCTTTAAATAGGTATTTGTGCCACTTTTTCGTAATTTTTCCCCCACCCATGGGAGGGCGAGCACCCTGGCAGAATTCGCTAGTGCACGATAATAATTTTTTTTTATGTTACATTTGGACATTCATCGTATATGAGGATGAATTTTCCCTTTATTTCCCTTTTCTTTAAATGACCTGCTTTTTAGAATTTTTTCCCAGCTCCCAGAAGGAGGGGGAGGGCGCGCCTCCCGGGCCCCCCCTGCTGGATCCGCTAGTGCCCCATAAAAATGTGCTCACTCGAAAACTTGTGGAGTCCATGCAGGCCTCTTCTGGGCACCACTGTTATATTATATCCTTTAATTTTCGCTCGTTAGTTTTTCTAAGCAAACAAAAAACATTATTCGCTTGAAACCTCCCTGTTACCTCGAAACTTCCAAAATACTGGTAATTGTTACCAATTGTTAACAGGTCTATGTAATTCATAACGTTTTCATAAGATTACAAAAAATTTATTCTAAAACTTTAATTTACGTTTTCTGAAATAATTAAAAAAAATGTGCTTAGCCCAAAGCTGTGCAAAATTTGATGATTATTTTTTGAAAGAATATGAAAAGTGCTACAAAGTGGAAAAAAATATTGTAGCGGCAGGATATCGAAAAGGGTATTTCATAGACTATATAAGTGTTATTTATGTATTTCAAAGAATTGATAAATGCGTGTATCAATGACGTGGAGGAGTACCTCAGCAGTATGGGAGGAGAATAGCTGCCGATAGGGAAGCCTGGCGGAAGCTTGTTTCTGAGGCCCAAGTCCGTTAAGGGATTGTTGAGAAAATTAACAATAATTTGAAAGTTGTTTTTGTCCTCTTAAATAGGCGATCAGTCCCAGTGTGCGACGTACCCTCAACCTTGACAGAGAGGATAGAAGTAGATAACGACGAACTGTGTGCCTTATCTCTAAGCATACGCTTCCCTTTCCTTGAGGTAACTAAGATGGTGAAGTACCTGTATAATTCTATCAAATCTCAACTTGGTGTCGTCACTCCTTTCGACTTGGGACTTAGGTAAATTGAAGATTTGACCTTCGCCAGTAGAAGAAGCACAATTACTAGATATAATTAGTCAAAAATCACTACAAAACTGGTGTGTCTGCAAGGTGGTTCTGCATTTGAAGGTACTTGTGATGGGTTTTTTTTTCTGTACATTAGGATGGGATAGATGAAGATGCTGACACCATAATTTGGCCCGTAGAGGTAAATGATGGGAAGGAATTTGTTGACGTGGAGGTTGAAATTGATAATGGGAGGTATGAGGTTTGGATTGGGACATCTGAGGTGTCTGACGTCGAGGCTGCTGTTTCTTGATGGGGTTTGGGTGTAAGATTTTCTCGAGTCCTGGTTAGGATGGTCGATGTCAGTTGATGTAGAAGTTGATGGGTGAATTGGTGAATAATAATTTTATTTAATTCTGGAAAATGTGAAGGATTTTCAATTTCCGGTGACTGGGTGTAAATTTTCTATTTATAATTTACGCTTTTTAACGCTATATTTTGAGATCTCAGCTTATAGAAATGTTTATAAACTTTGCGTCCTTTGTAGCTTGCAGGATGTTCTTCGCCACAAAGAACGCATTTTGCAGACTGATCGCGAGGACCAGACATGTTTTAGATGCGCGTGGGCCGACACATGGCTTATGATGGCAATAGGTCTTTGTGTGCCCTAAGTCTTGACACTTAGTGTCAAATTTTACTGAATATACAAGTCTCTTAACTTGAAATATTTCGATGTTCTTACTAGCATGGATATGGATGGCAATGGATATTTTTGCGTTGGATGTAGCAATATGTGCATAACGTAATGATTTAATTCTTTCAGGGTAGTTTAGATAACGGAAATAGGGGTGGTTGAATGTAGACCTCTCAAGACCACCCGATATGCCTTTTCTTGTCTTATTTGATAAAAATGAAAATCATAGTTTTTAGTAGATAAGTAGTTGATTAGTATTTTATAATGTTCTCTAGAGTTTGTGTTGATCTTGCTGTTAAAATAACCCTTTGAATGGACCGTTCATCTGATGGTACATTCCATACAGATATATATTACGGACTACTTCATAGCTTACTTAGTAGTTTAATATAGTCTTTTATATTTGAAGTGGCCAAAATAAAAATCCTAGTAGTTTTATTACAAACAATTTTTTTTTAATATGTTTAATAAAATAAGATGACTTTATCAAAAAATATTTTAAAAAATTAAAAAGAAAGAAAGATTGTAAATTTAAGAAAAATATATTAAGTGAAATTTTGATTAAAAAATGTTTTATTATCTGAATAATAATCAGTTATTTTATAAATATTTCGTAGTTTTTAATATAAATGACTGTTTTGAATTTTGTCCAGCTAGATTGCTCAACAGTTCACTTTGGGGTGTTGGAAATAAGATTTGACGACGAATTTTGAAAATTATTGGTTAATTAAATTATTTCAATGTTCTATTCTGTAGTAGTTATCGGTTGGTTACAGTTTCCTTTAGTTTTTATCTTTAAAGAATTTGGAAAAATGTTGGTTATTTACTTTATTTATTCTTTGTACATACTTCCTACTTCTTTGTGTTTCAATTTGACTAATTGTTAGTTTGACACCTGGCTTTGAGGAGTTGTGGGTTAAGTATGTGTTTATTGGAACTAAATGAATTTATAGTTGTAATGTTGTTTATAGCTCTTATTTTATTTGGATCTGATTAGTCATGATATTTACATCTGTTTCCTATGTTTCCTTAATTTATCATAAGGAACCATGATCAACAAAATTACTTATTAGGTTATATTGAATTTGTTAATTTAATTTTATTCTTTTTATTATCTTTTTTTAATTGATTATTTCTAATGAAAATCAATTATTCTTTCTGACATTTCTTGCAATATGCATGATTATTTCTAATCTATGTTAAATCTTAACTTTAAAACTCAGTATGAGATTCTTATCTGTTCTTATGTAAATGAATACTGTTTAATGTTTGTTATTGAGACATAAATTAATGTAGTAGTTGTAAAACAAAAATATTTTTAATTTATACCTTATCATTTTTAAAATTTTTAATGAACTGTTTTATTCTATAAATATCTGTCTAGTTAAGTGTATTAATGTTGGAATTAGTGATTTTTATAAATTATTTTAGAATTTGATCGAGTATTGTATAAATTATTCATATTCTCTCGTGATTTGGTTTAAATAGAATTGGTTAATATGAAAGATTATGACTGTATTAACAAAGAATTTTCGGACCATATCTACTTTAAACTTAATATTTTTTTCTTGAGGTGTTTGATATTAAGCTTAATTGTATTTTTTATGTTTTTTAATGTTATATCTTGTTGAAGGTCAGTTGTTATCACTATACTATAGTTTTGAAAGTTAACTAATAACTTTCAAAATAGTTTTATCTTGGATACTTTTAAACCTTACATGGTAAAAAAATTGTACAGTATGAATTAGTGATGGGCAAAACTGCTTATCATGATAAGCAGTTGCAACAGTTTCTGCTACTTCAAAAAACCAGTGGTACTTGTTGGTTAGCCGGGCGGGACGGACTGCTATCTGCCAATGTTTATAACCTAAATACTGATAATTCTGATAAGACACTGATAAGGCTTCTCATAATTGCTATCTTTGTATTCATATTTATTGTATTTTATTCGTATTATTGAAATTGTAAACAAAAACAAATGTAATAATAAAAAAAACTTTTATTTTACAACATATATATTAAATAGACGAAAACAAATGTAATTCCCAGATTTGCCGATAAAACACTCATCTGTTTCTTGGCAAACTCCGACAAACATCCATTGCTCTCATTAAATTATAGGACCACCAATAAATAAATTTTAAAGCCGTTAAAAACGAAATCCTCGAACTTACTAACCACGTTCCTTTCCTTATAGGAACTTTTTTGTTACAAATGGTACGAATATTGAATAAATGTATGTATACACATATATGTATGTATATATGCATACCCCAGAATGTAATAACATTCATAATTTGACGAAAATAACAAATGGAACAAAAATAAGCAATGGAATAACTCAAAGCTTTCACAAGATAAGAAGGTAGGTTATGTGATGTAACATTAGATAACAAGGGAGGTTTCGTCCATGCCTCCTAATGGACAAGTACCAAAACAGTTTATAAAAAGGAAATACAACTGTTTTAAAACTTGACAAACCAAAAAAAAAAAAAAAATACCCTGTCTTCTGTTACCTTTTCACTATTTGAAATTGATTTTCCTGTTAATAATATATAATTAGATTTCAATGAATTTATTTTTTATCTCTGAAGTAATTATCAATATAATTGTTAAATTTTTATTTTACCTTTGTATTATATCTACTTTGGGGCAAACAAAAAAAATTATATTTGCAGATAATTATCAAACTAATGGAATTGACAGCCAAATTTTCAGTAGCAACAGCGCTATGGCCGGTGTTTTATAGAAACTTGTCAAAACAGTTAAACAGTACGTGTATGTGTAAGTTTAATTTTGTTGCTGTAGGGAGCTGTGGCTGAATCTCTAACAGAGAGCTTTATCTAATTCAGAAAACTGTTTCTGAATCTGTTGTAAGAAGCTGTTTAAATTAAACAGCTGTTTGTATCTGTCTTAGAAAACTGTTTACGTATCTGTTGCAAGAAGCTGTTTAAATTAATCAGCTTTCTGTATCTGTTGTAAGAAGTTCTTTAAATTAAACATCTTTCTTTATCTGTTGCAAGAAGATGTTTAATTTAAACTTATTTAGTGTTACCCTCAGTTTTGTTGTCTCCACCTTCTAAACTGTACTGAGAGATGTCTTGGGTAAGTTCCTAAATTCAGTGCTGAGTTTATCGATACATACATATATATATATATATATATATAATGTTGAATATATGTGTTTAATGAAAAGAAACTGTTTAAATTAAACAGATTGCTACTAAATAGCCCACTACTAGTATGAATTAATTGAATAAGAAAAAATTAGACATTAATCCATCAATGATGGATGGGAGGAAAATTATAATAATATAAAAACTATAATAAATCAAATGTTAAAATAATAAACAAAGCTTCATATCTAAAAATCAGTATACTTCCCTACTATTACCTAAAGGAGCGAGAGTTGGGTCATGCTGTTCAACCAGATAAACAGTATCACAGGAGCTGAAATGAAGTACTTAAGTAGAGCTGCAGGAAAAGACCGCTTAAGATATGAAAGGATTAGCTAGGAGCTGAAAATCCCTTCACTAAATTCCACCTTTAGAAAAAGACAGTTCAATTGGTTCGTTCATGTTTATCAAATGAACTAGGGTCAGGAACCTGGATAGTTATGGAACCTTGATCTAATGACAAGAGGCCACACTGAAGGCCTAGAATTTTGTATGAAGATTAAATCCAAAGGATTGGAGGAAAAACTCGCCAACATGTGAAAAAAATCAGCAGGAACTTTGAGGCTTAGCAGCATTAGATTGAGGTCCCAGAAACAAGTATTTTCAGACAAGGGGGAAGTAAAAATTATTTACGCTATATTTATGTTATTTCTTCTTTAGTTAATTATCAAATTTGTTCATTTTTTATATCAAAGATTAATGCGAAATGGTTAATTATATCATTTTATTAAATCAAATAAAAAAATAAATAAAGGTACTTTAGAGGAAGCTAATATTGAAAATTAGCCATTTAAGCCCTGATAGAGAACATCAATGAGAATAAAGCCTGTATCATATTTAAAACTGCTTATCGTTAGAGCAATTTTTGAGAAAATCGTAAAAATGTGTTCAATTGATTATAGATAGTATCAGTGCCAGTGTGCCGATTTCGACGAAAATGTTGCTGTAACATCAAAAGCTTATAAAAATCTTAAATATGCAATTTCACTTTCATAGGACTTTTCGTTTTTGAGCTAGACTGATATCATTCATACACCCAGACCATTTTGCTTGAGTTATTTTTTGGGTCCCTGAGATTCAGCATTTGGCTTAATTTTGTCATTATTGGCCTTTTATTGAAGCTGAGTAATCAGAAAATAACAACACATTAAAAAAATAATTGATTATTAATAAAGTATGTCATGATATTCGCGTGGTCTCTATGGCCGTTCCGTGAAAAAAAAAAAGTATGCATTAAAAAAACACCAGTAAAGTTAATTTTTTTTTTTAATGTTATTTACAACTGTATTAAGAAAGAATACATCAAGTAAATGTGATATTTACATGATGTTATTGTTGATTACATGTTTTTATTCAGGAAATAAAAACATGAAAACACTTGTTAAGAAACTACCCACTGGTAGCACTCTAAAAAAAAAATGAATTTACAATGGAAGATCTCGAGGCCATCTTCTTTTCAGATGCCTCAGAGGGTTACCAGGGATCGAATAGGAAGCAAGGCTAAAAACGAGAGGGTTCGGATGGTTCTGAAGTTTATTATGGAAGGATAGGTATCTGGATTGGGCCAATTCGGAAATATAAGGAACATTAAGGTCTTTATGGATGATTTTATTAGTGACAAAGTAAGGAGCATTGAGGATTTTACGAAGGATTTTGGATTGTAAGGATTGGATGCGTGAGGAATTCGATGGCTTTGTGGACCCCCAAATCTCAACTCTGTATGTCCAGATAGGTCTTATTGTAGTCATGTATATGAGTCTTTTGTAATTAACTGGAAGCTTAGAGCGTTTGTCTAGTAAGTGCTGGAGTAGTCGGAAACGTCGAGCGGTTTCTTGTCGTTTAAGTCTGGTATGAGGATTCCAAGTTAGACGTTTGTCCAAGTGGAGTCCAAGGTACCGGATTTGTTCAACAGGGATAAGCGGGGTATTATTAAAGGATACTGTAGGACAGGAAGTCATAGGTTTACGACGAAGGGTAAAGGTGATTTGACGGGATTTATTGTAATTTATTTTAATCCACCAATTTTGACACCATTCTTCGAGGTTTGTGATGTGTGATTGGAGAGTTTGGGATGCAATTATTGTATCATTATTAACTGATAGGACACATGTGTCATCAGCATACGTGGTGATGACAGTGTTGGGATATCAGCTGTATAAACTGTGTAAAGGATAGGACCTGGGATACTACCTTGAGGAACACCATCGGATTGGGAAAAAAGGGATGAATAAGCATTATTGTGATTTACTTTGAAGTACCTATCAGTTAAGTAGGAACTAATAATGAGGAAGTGCGTAGGATCTAGGAATTTACGGAGTTTGTAAAGCAGTCCTCGGTGCCAGACTCGGTCATAAGCCTGTTCTGCATCGAGAAAGACTCCCTTGCAGTACATTCTGCTCTCCAATGAAGAGGAGATAACATCCACCACACAATGGCATTGCTGGATATTGGAGTGGGATCTACGGAATCCCAATTGGTGATCTGGGATTATGTGATTCGAATCTAGGATGGGATACAGACGTTTTAGGATGAGTTTTTCCAGGATTTTGCCCATGATGGTTAAAAGCTAGATAGGACGGTAAGAGGATGGGTATTCTGGTGGCTTTTTGGGTTTGTGTATCATTTTGATAATAGAAACTTTCCAAGGGTCAGGGAAATATGTGGATCGGAGTACAGCATTATATTTATATATATAAGTAAGGAATAGAATGACTTTCCGAGGAAGTAGTTTTAGGATCTGAGAT